TATCTACACGACGACTCGGAAGCTTCACCGGCAACCTCTCGAAGTAATTCCCGTAGATATACTCAGGCGTATACCCATTCTCTTCATCGAACAGCATAATATGACCGTGCCACTCCCAGACACGATAATCCGATTCCTCATCCTCGTGAAACCCAACACAGATGTGGTGTTCGTTGACCGTCACGGCTTGACCTGAATTCGGCTTAAGAGAATCGCTCCGACCCGATACGATGACTCGGATTAGCTCTTTCTCCAACCTAGCTTCTTCTCGGTCGAGATTGTTCTGACCATCTCCGTCATCATCGCCGTCGCTGTCGTCGGATTTGAAGAGGAGGTCATCTAGGGATTGAGAGAGAAAATGGGAGTTAGGTGGACGAATCTGGAGGCGTCCGAGTAGGGTTTGGATTAAGAGGTTGTCGAAATTGCTGCTTCCATTGAGGGAGCTCATGCTTGATCGCCGAATCGATCTTCTTCTTCTTCCTTCTCCGATTTCCGTCTTCAGCCTCTCGGGTTTTAGAGATAGGAAAGGGTTTTTTGCTTGGCTCACTTTTGGATGTACACGTGGGCAAGTCGGTAATTTTCAGAAAAGGGAAGGGTAAAATAGTCATATTATTGGTAGGCATCAAATTTCAAGTTTCGTTGGCTATATATATAACAGAGATTTAAGCAACTTGGAAATTTAAAGAAAGAATGTAACGAGAAAGGAGAACAATAGTCTTTGGAAATATGATAACTCCTCTTAACTACTAGACACTACAACACTATGAGTTAGTTAATTTTCTTAGGTATGGTTTCCAAAATGTCAAAAGTCTAGGGGAAAATAGTCGTAACCAACATCTTAAGGGAGCTTAGAGCAGCCAACCCTTAATTTTTAGATCTTGGGCAAACACTCAATGATATTGTTTAGTAAACCCAATACTAATGCTTTGATTATGCATGTTCATAGATTTAATAAAGGAAAAACTTTCAACGACATATCAAAATATTGGAAAATGACTCAAAAATTAGAAGTGAAGAACAAAATGGGAAAAATCCATATTCTTAGTAGTTGTCTTTTGAATTATCGGCATCATCTACCGGATTCAACAGAGGACACACACAAATATATCCTCTGAGAACCCTAACATATATTTATATATATTTGTGTATACACTTCGCATCTGTCGAAAAAACAAATGTAAATAATGTTGCACTTGTAAGGATTTCTTCATTGCTTGATTGATGAAAAAGTTCAACGTCTCAAATTCTCCACGACGTAGTCCGCATACAGATCCCTACATGACACAAAAGAGTTTATCCAATGTTAACTAATTACTTCTACATTTATCATAACCTTCAATTATGAGTCCATATAATATGATTAGTTTTATGAAGGCTTACATTGAGTGTTGAACTGCTTCGTAGGCTGCAGTCGCGGGAAGGAAGTCGTTAACGGCTACTTCCTTGTTCTCGTTTTTCTTATCTGCAACAATAATCCAAGAATATGAGTCTCATATAACAATCCGGTTTACGGTATAGTTTTGATTCACTTCTAATCTTATTTCATTCGTAGTCGAAAGAAGGTGAAGAAAGAACACTCACAGTCTTCAAAGAAACGGCGAATCTCAGCCATACGATGAGGCGGAAGCTCCTTGATGTCATTGTAATGGCGATACTCAGGGTCGTCAGCGCAGACAGCAATAATCTTGTCGTCTTTCTCACCCTTGAAAAGCATAAAGACCATTTAGTTTCAACCTCTTTTGCTTTCTATGAATAGGATGAGACATTCAAATTAATGTTTTTACCTGATCAATCATTGGCATCAGACCAATAGCTTTGGCCCGAAGAAAGCATCCTGGAATCACTGGTTCCTGTAGAATAATTTCAATATGATTCACAATGACATGTGTTTTCTACCGTTCATATAAGACAGATTGAGAAGAAGCTGGTGATGCTGTTAAGAACAGAAACTGTTAAACTGCTTTGCCTATTCAATTTCACCAAACCAGAGAGACTCACAACATCTATAATCTGCTGCATTCGGTCCTAGGCTAGATACAGTAGAGCCTATAGCTAAGAGTTAAGAGTCACTAAACTTCTTCAAAGCTTACCAGATGCACAAATCAAATGAAACAATAAACATTATGTTATGAATCACACAAGTTCTCAAAATTGTATGAAGAAAAAGTTTACCTGCATAATGACTAGAACATCTATAGGGTCACTGTCCTCACAAAGGGTACGCGGAATGAACCCATAGTTGTGTGGGTACACGACAGATGAGTAAAGAATACGATCGACCTGAGAATATATTTAATGTTTAGACTATAGTACTGTCTTCAATAGCAAAAGGGACGATGAAGAAAGTTGTTGCAATGAAGTTACCTTAATGAGACCGGTAGTTTTGTCGAGTTCATACTTCACCTTGCTCCCTTTTCCTATCTCAACCACCTGCAATTACACCTCCTTACGCTTTGTTAATGATTCCCACAGACATATCTCAAAGATTAAACTCATTAACTGGTTTCCTAATCAGGCAATGGACATCATTCATATCATACATCAGACTGTAGAAACAGAAATCAAGTGAAGCATCTCGAAATACGCATTTGTGACAAATCTAATAAGACAAAATCAATCCTTAGAGCTTTTACTGTCCAAAACATCAAGAAAATTTGTAAAATACTTACACAATTGAAGATAATTGGAGCTTCAGGTCCTATAAAACAAAGGAAAGAAAGGTAAAAATGTATAGAGTTAGTATCAAGAAGCAAAGTAATAACCTTATAACCCGAAAAGGAGAAACCTTTACGTATAGCTTACCTATCTCCAAATCATGCCATGGGTGTGCAGCAACAGATCTCTGGGTCATAGAGGAAAGTATCCTCTCATTAAGAGGAGGAAGTGAAGCCTGTTTCTCAGCATAATTCCTGGTAGCAACCTCAATCGGTGGAGCCATTGCTGCAAACAATACACATAGCAATATATGAAACCGAAAATTCATGATATATATACATCTCTAGAGCAACAAAATAATCTGTCTAACACAAAAACTACGGGCTCAGTCTTTACAAATGTAGTTCAATTCCCTTAAATCGGGTGATAAAGCCATATGTTCATGAGTTATATATACCAAAGATCTACGTCTCTACAATTGAATAAACAACGCAATGCTGGACACAGAGACACAAGATACAAAAAATCTTTTAAAAAGAAAGTTACAGAAACGTCCAAGAAACGCATTATTTTCTTGTTTTGCAGCAGTTCATGAAACCTTAAATGTATCTGCCGACAAAACTGTTCCTAAAACCATGTCTACAAAGCAACCAAAAGATCGATTTTTTTTTCTATAATAACAATAAAAAAACAGGGCACTCTCTTTTAAACGAGTTTGAGATAAACGAGCAAAAACATTTTCCTCTATGAAGTTACGAAATCTAGAAATGTAAAACATCACAAGCGTCAATTTTTTGAAACCCAACTCAGATCTACAGGTCACAAAGTCTCATGTCGGAGAAAATCTGTCTATGAACCGAAAAAATCATCGTTCATGGCTTTTTGCAAGCAGATTAAGAAACCCCAAAACCCTAGAAATCCAGTGAGAGGAAGAACACAATCCGATTGAAAAAAGACCATTTCGAAATCCGTACCTGAGCGAAATCAACAAATCTCTCGAGCAAAAGTGTCGAATGAAGAAAGAAACACAGACACAGATCTCAAGAAGAACAAGCACCGACTC